TTCATGCACAAACTAAACCCTCAACTCATCTATAGTGGCAAATTTGTCCCTTTGTTAAGCCTTACGTTATCAATCTGTTAAGTTTTAACGTCATCAACAAGTCCAAACCCCAAGAGACCCAAAACAACAAATCAACCCACCAGCGCAAGTGAATACACCACACCACCTCCCCCATTTTCTGTTTCAATTTTTGCCATCTCAACACCTCCACCACCACCCGATCCCAATAGCAGCAGGCCTCTCCGTTACTATAACTATTAAACCCAATCATTGGTTCCACGCCCTACACCTCATCACTAAACCTGTAGGTCTGCTCTCTTTTCTTCCCCACCATAGAAATGTGTTACGAACTCAGAAAAATTCCAAAGTCGCTGTTTGTTTCATGGTGGACGAAAGGAAACAGGATCCTCAAATTGAAACCATCCTTGAGGAAAGATCTGACGATGTTAAAGATGCCTAGATCTTAATGCCACCACATCTGGCGAGAAGCTGGCACAGAAAGATCTGAAAGGTTTACTTGCCTAGTCGTTGCCGTGATTTCCAATTTTGGCATCACTTCCATAGCCATTATAGCTGTTTACTATAGGTTTTCTAGCAAATGGAGGTATCCATCTTCTTCCCCATCCCCTCTTTCTTTCCTTATTTCAATAGCACTACAAAATTCTGAATCGGATTCTCTTTCATTTTCAAAAAGTGGAGAGGGAACTTCTACTCGAGATAGAGTATTTAGAATAGGAGGAAGATTGATGACTATGGTAATAGCTGGATGAGTTGATGAAATTATAGTTGGAAGATGGATCCACCAAAGAAGATAATTCGAAGGATTTGGCTGTCCGTTGAGATTGTCTTGATAGGCGCAGCTGGGCTAGATCTATGCTTTTCCTTGATTGTCTAACTTGGATTGTTTTTGCTGATTGAAAAGTTCCTTGAATATGACAATTTGTCTAGCAAAGCCTCCAACAAAGCATCCATCTCAGTAAAAACAATCTAGGTCAGACGCAAAGGAAGGGCTGATGAGCGAAAGGTTAAAACTTAACGAATTGATGATGTAAGGCTTAACAAAGGGGCTAATTTGCCACTGCAGACGAGTCGAGGGGTTGGTTTGTGTGTGAACTGAGTTGAGGTGGTGATTTGCCACGAGTCAATCAGTTGAGGGGCTAATCTGCATGTTTTGCCTATTGTTAATTAATTTTGGGCCAAAACCCTCAAGGACAACAAGTTTAAAGGCTAAAAAATATACATGGTTTGTTATGTGATTAAAAGTTTAAAACTCTCAATGACAACAAGTTGAAAAGGGGGACAGGGGATTAAGCCCCTATTAGGTGGTGCAGAGTTTTACAAATTTTTTTAACCTACTGCTTTAGCCCCAAAAGGGGCAAAAAAAATTTTAGGGAGCCAAGCTCCTCTCTCTCTCTCTCTCTCTCTCTCTCTCTCTTTCTCTCTCTCTCTCTCATTTTATTTTTGCTCCTCTAACGGACAAACTTCAAAAGTTAATTTTTATTTTTTGATAGGAATAACAATTACTCAATTAGAGTACGCATTGTACATGTTTTTATAGAATTTGTAGTTAATTTTTAGCTATGATGAGACACTATTATAAAAAATATTGTTTATTAAAAAAATAAGAAAAAGTGTGTGTAGAAGATGGTTTAATATTCCAAAAATAATAACGGGTATGTAATCACCAAATGAACAATTAGGATTTATTTTCTTTTGGGAAATGGATAAGTACTATTAATTAACTTGTTACACACAAAAATG